TGTCTGGCAGTCGTGGGCTCTTGGGCTATTGCATTGAGCGGTAAACACTAGTTGCAGTTAATTCAGGTTCTGTCTAAAATATACTCGTACTTATGACAGAGTATAGTCGAATATTTATTTATTTATTATGTTATTAACTGAGATTTGGTATTAATTATTGTTTCAATATTTAGCGCACATCGATACTCTTTTTTAAATGTTTTAAAAGTAAGAAGAAAATATAGAAAATAACACAAAAAAAGACAATTATACCCCGTAAACATACGAAAATACAGTAGTTTTACAAAAATAATTTGGTATTAATTTAGTTATAAATAAGTACCTCGTATAATTTATGTACAAAAAGTAATGATATCCCATCAAAAACATAAATGTGAAATGATAGCCGAGTTTAATATTATGATATATGCCTTGATTGTTGACTTCTACGACAAAAGAGGTGAGATCTAAATGGGTGCCAAGTTCAATGGTCTGTCCTGAAATGTATTTATAACAATATAAAATATCATTTCTTCTTGTAACTTAGGATAATATACTGTAGCCTAAGTTCTAACTTGGCTAGTTTTCATATACGAAATATACTGTAACCTACGCAAGTTCTAAACTTGTCGGTTCCTATTTTATTATTAGTAGTAACTAGCAATCGAAAGTAATAATTGGTATATGAGAACTGGCCAAGTCAGACCTACAGTATATTATCCTTAGTTATAAGAAGAAATGATATTTTATATTGTTATAAATACATTTCAGGACAGACCATTGAACTTGGCACCCATTTAGATCTCACCTCTTTTGTCGTAGAAGTCAACAATAAAGGCGTATATCATAATATAATATTATGTTATCTGTATAATATTAAACTCGGCTATCATTTCACATTTATGTTATTGATGGGATATATATCTACATTGTACATACTCTGGAAAAAATTTAATACTAATGAATTATTACTAAAATTGTAAAACTGTACTAAGCTCATATAATAGTTTATTCCTTGAAGGTCATGAATAAAGCACTGCTAAAATAATACTAATACCAGTGGCACTCAATGAGGAAGTAGCCATTATTATTGCTAAAAGTTGCATATAGATGGCGTGATTGGTATCGATGGAATTCTTCATAGTTTTGCAAACGTTTTAAAAAACAAAACTGTGTTCTCAAAAATGTTTAATCAATTTTTAAAAAGTTATATATACATGTTAAAATGAAATAATGCGTTTAGAAAAGTAATTTTCATATATTTACTCATTTTGTTATTTTCCAGTACTTAATTACACTTTAATCAGTGCTAATATGGGGCTCAATGTTTTCAAAATGCTTTCATAGATGGCATTGTCGTCATTTGTATCGGCCTAATTAAATGTCTTTTTTATATTTTCCAATAATAAGCACTTAATATATTATTATTGTAAATTAAACATATAATTTTTTTTTAAGTAAATGCCAAAAAATAGCCGAACAAGTCAGTAATACTATTTCCAATAATACTTATGTATGAAGTGTTGTCATATTAAAAATAAATACATGTATTATCGATTTTTTTGAATAATCGATAACAGGATTTTATTACAGCGCATTATTCGATGATGCTTTTAATGAGTCGTTGTGAACAGTAAATTTTCATTATTTTGTATTATAGCAGTGTTCCGTTTCAAAGAACGGAATATAGTAGTACATTATTAGTGTCGTTGGTTATTTACATTTGTACTAAAAAATCGATTACATAATAATTTAAAATATCGAGTACGAATCGTAGCTGTCTTCGAATACTGGCAACTGGTAAGATTAAAATAGTATTTAAATAAAAGAGAGAAATCGACCCTAACTCGAATACCATAAAGTTGATTTTCCTTTCTCATTAATATCATAGCAGTTTGTTTTTAACTTGCGTATGACTCTGTGGTATGATGTTTAACGTGTATTGTTTAGGGAATGCAATCCCGAACCCGCGGGATCCCGATCTCGCGAGATCTCGTGTAATTTTTCGAGATCAATCCCGACGCATCATATGACGAGATCCCGTTCGAGATTGACGGGATTGGGCGGCAGTGAAAAAGAAATAAAAAATATAATCACACGATTATATCGTAAAGAACCAAACCAAGCAGATATTAATACGGCAGTACTAATCGAAGATGACTTGCCTCTTTCAATGATTGCAGAAGATTTGAATTTACGTGCTGCACAAACTAATAAATCGCTTCAAGAGGAATTAGAAGAAACTCTGCGAGCTTCTAAAAGTCCTTTTGCACGTATATCCACGTCCACGAGCTTAGACAAATTAGAATCTACCATTAAAAAAGAAATGGATTTGTTTGAGTGTGGAGGAACAAGGGGGCGATTTTTGCAGTTTGCATATAATTGCTTCGCCACGCTGTTGCCAACCAGCGTTGAGTCGGAGAGGGCATTCTCAGCAGCGGGGTACATTGCAACGGACATTAGATGCCGTTTAGCAGATGAAACTATTAATACCCTTTGTTTTTTAAGGAGTCATTTTCAAAATCACTCTTTTTCCTAATTCCCTTGAAATAAGCTTATTGTTTTGATTACTTAATTTACCTACGTTAATTTCCTTACAACCTGATTATTATTTAGTTGGTAAGATTAAAGAATAAAGGTTTTTATTTTCTTTCGAGTAATATGTTATTTTAGTTAACCTCACTATCACAAACAAGCAGTTATTAGCTTTTTCAGTCATCTGAATTCAACATTTTTTTTAAATTTAGACGGGATCCCGAAAATTCCGGGATCCCGCGGGATCCCGAATTTGCAATCTCGAGTCGGGATTGCATTCCCTAGTATTGTTATTGTACGGTGCATACATTTCAAAAATTATATTTTAATGTAGGTACATACATTTCTTTCATACATCTCATACATTTCAAAAAATATATTTTAATGTAGGTACATACATACATTTCTTTCATACATTTCATACATATCAAAAATGAACTTTTTATGTAGGTACATACATCTCATACATTTCAAAAATTATCTTTTAATGTAGGTACATACATTACTTTCATACATTTCAAAAATTATATTTTAATGTAGGTACATACATTTCTTTCATACATTTCAAAAATGAACTTTTTATGTAGGTACATACATTTCATACATGTCAAAAATTATCTTTTAATGTAGGTATATACATTACTTTCATACATTTCAAAAATTATATTTTAATGTAGGTACATACATTTATTTCATACATTTCATACATGTCAAAAATTATCTCTTAATGTGGGTACATACATTTCATACATTCCAAAAATTTCATACATTTCAAAAATTATCTTTTAATGTAGGTACATAACACCACATGTCAGACCCCTTGTATTTGGAAGAAACTTAAAAATAATGCCAAAAATATTAGATGAATATATTTTTAATACGAATATTGTTTTATTTTTGTTCATCAACTTTATCCCTCACTAACAATACTAGTAGTAGTACATAACCTGGTTTATACCGCTAAAGATATTAAAAGATATACGAGTAATTCAGAATGTTATCAAGTTCAAAATAAGCACACATTACTTGCTTAGATAACAGAGTAATATTACTCGTAATAAAAACATTTGTAACACCTATATGTATACTACGTATGTATAGTAAGTACTTACGCTGCGGCGCCGTGAGACTCGTCTACCTCATCTACTCATCTACGCGCGGTAACCGCGCCGACCGACCAATAGGAGCGCGCCTCTCGTGTTTCCAGAAAGTTCGCGACTAACGGACGATACAGTAGTAAGGCAATGAGTGTCCCAGTGACATCATTATAATATTTTCTAGTTAAATTTTATTGTAATATACAAATTTCGCACTAAATAACGTGTTACCCCGTTACACATTTCTAATAATGAAAAACTTAGACCGACCCTGTTCACTTAATATTACAAGATCTGACTTTAAAAATTACGATATCCTCATATAGCCTTTCATTTCCCCTTTCAATACTTTTTCGCATTAAAAAGTAGCCTTTCTCAGGGTCTACATTATCTGTCTACCAAATTTCAATTAAATCAGTTCAGTAGTTTTGGCGTGAAAGCGAGACAAACAGACAGACTGAGTTACTTTAGCATTTATAATATTTGTAATAATATCGCTATTAAAAATAGGGGTTGGTGAAAGACGGGTGAAAATTTAGGCGTGTGTGTATTTTCAATGTAACATTATAAATAAATAAAAAATTGTCCATAATATAAAAAAATATTTTTTCAGGGTAGGCCACCCCTATGACTTAGGGGTATAAAAAATAGATAACAACCCTACCTCAGACCTGGCAAGTATACATATCATATTTCATCAAAATGTGGGAGAAATATGGCAACTAACACTGTGATACAAAATTTATATATAAGATATAGCGGAATTCCATCGTAGAATACATGAGGTATATACCAGTAAATTAATTGTAGCTAAAATCAGTCTCATACATATAACGATTGAAATAAAAAATCGTATAGCCCGATTTTGATACGTACGAGTATAAACGTATCAAAATCAGGCTATACGTATAGCGCAGACGCGTTACAACATATCAAAAAAATAGGCATGGAATGTAAAATAAACCATAACACAATAGGTATATACATTGGCACATAAGCCATATCTGCAGAGTGTCGGCTAACGATATTATACCTACACATTTACATTGAATCTTGAATCGTCCCTAATGAGGTACACGATACAGTTACCTACATATCTATTATATACATATCTTTGCAAAACAGATGTCATGTAGACTGAATTGACTGCCATCTATTTTCATGCTTTGTTACTAAGCAGCCACTAGTAATCCGAACTGCTTCAGATCTAGCGTCATCTAGCGGCTACGGTGGCGAAATAAAATAGCCCGAGTTCGGAAGGAACCATTTTCTTGTATGGGATGGGGTATCTGTATGTAATATTATGTTATCTGTGCTAATACTAATATTTCGGACTGATCGTTTTTTTTTTGGTTCGGTTTTCCCCTTTTTAGGGAAAGGTAAAAGGACTCAGCCCATACAGCCATTGTTTTCAGTAATATTTTCTTATATTATTTTTTTTCTAATAATTGTCTTCAGAAGTTACAAATCTTGATCTGTGGTTTTTTTTATTTTTGAAACATGTCACAAAGTACATTGATTTGTTGACTTACGTTTGTCAATGTCAGTCAGTAATTCTATTTATTTTTTCAAAACCTAACCTATTAACACCGAATAAAATGAAGTAACAATTTTTAATTTTCTGATCCTTTGTAACTAGTTCTTTCTATTTTAGAACCATGGGCGAGTTAATAAAAAAAAATACGGATTGGGATTCTAATAAGGGCTTACGAGAGCCTATAAAGAATATAGAGGTTAGTAAACAAATAATGTTGTGGTTAGGGCCCTAAGTATTTTTTATGAAATAACCAGATAATCGCACGCCTATGCCTGGACATAAATTAAAAGAAACTTGTATTATGGGTTTTGTACCCATAACTACCCACTCTAATTATTAATATAAACTCTACATTTTGTAATACATAAAATACACCCATACTAGTCCAACCAATCATGCTTAAACAAATAAGTGTATCTTCGGAAGTAAGGTAGGGTGCTAAACCGCTAGACTACTGAAGTCGTCAACACAGTTTCTAAACTAATGGCATAGTTAGTGTGCTAGATATGTAATCTTGACATTTTTATAAATTAAAAATTCAATATTTTTTATTAACATTTATTCATTATCTAGTTCAGTTTACATGTTGCAATAAGAACAAATGGCAAAAAACATTGACTGATTTTTTAAAAATTATAAATGAAAAACAATGCATGATCAATTGTTGCCTTATTATATTAATTATTAATATTTTTTAGGTAGTAAATAATAGTCTAATAGATGTTTTAAATTTATTTATAATTAATAAAGGTAATTCCAGAATATCCATATCTATCTCACTGTAAAATTTTATATCTATTCTCATAAAACACATTGACTGTTTCTAAATGATACTTAGTCTTAAAATTTAGTATTAATGTTTTTCATAACATTAATACGAAATTTATATACTTCACACCAGTATCACCTTGGACTGTTGTGAGTTATATGAAAACAAATTAATTTAAGAATAATTATTTAGGATTAACTGAATATTCATATAGTGGAAAGTGGGCATTCACATAACATCAGTAATTATTTATTTTATTAATCAACTAATAATTGTTAATACTTTCTTTTTGTCACCATATTGTAAAGTACATTAAAAAAAATACTACTGTATGTATTTATGAGATAACCACTGTTTATTTATAATTTGTAATAACTGTTTGGTTTTACACATTTTTAGCCTAATCATACTGAATACTAAAAATATTTGTACTTCATGCTCTTCTTATCATCCTCCACTCCAGCTCAGGAGGTTACAATAATGATTCCATGATTATCCATAAGAAAAAACTTAAAAGATACTCATTTGTATTTGAACATATCCTTTCAAATTTTTATTACCCATAGAAAATATAATACTAATATATATCCTAGCTTATTGCTGAAACAGACTTTAATTTAAGAGGTATTTCACCTAAAAAATTAATGTAATTATTGTTATGTTCATGTCTAAAGAGTATGTAAAGAAAATTTCGTTAAGAGAGGCATAAAAAGTTCTCTTTGTATTTATTTCTTTTTCAGGACAAATGGAAACTTGTTCCATCATTTTTGCAAGTAAAAGGATTAGTGAAACAACATATTGACTCATTCAATTATTTCATAAATGTGGAAATAAAAAAAATTGTGCAGGCCAATGAAAAAGTGTTTTGTGATGCAGACCCATTATTTTACATTAAATATCTGAATGCATATGTTGGTAAGCCAGATCTTGAAGAAGGTTTTAATGTAACAAAACCAACTACGCCCCATGAATGTCGGCTAAGAGATATGACTTATTCAGCTCCTATTACTGTTGATATAGAGTATATCAGAGGTAATCAACGTGTAATAAAAATAAACAATTGATTGGACGGTATGTGGCTCTTCAATTACTTTAGTGTAAAATATGAAATACAGAAGAATATGAAATAAAGAATAAAAATAACATATGAATTAAAGAAATATAATATCATGATTTAAAAATAGAGATGTATTGGATGTCACATCTAGATGTGATGTCAGTAATGTTGTTCATGTATATGGGCTTTTTCACATTCCAGTTGCTTAAAAATACAAATGTTATTTATTCTCAAGCCAAGTGGAACTTTTCTTTTACTATGGGTACCATAAATTGATTACCACATAATTGATAGATACATTTAAATTTATAACATACATCATAAATAATATAAGCACCTAACTGAATCTGATATATTTTTATTAATAAATAATGCTTGTATAGGAATTGAGCCCAGAGAAACCATTGGAACTGTAACCATTCTTTTGAGAATGTTTAATACTTATATAAATATATTTTGTCTCAGGATGCCTCTGATGTTAAGATCATCAAATTGTGTACTAACGAATAAAGGTGATTTTGAATTGGCACAGTTAAATGAGTGTCCCCATGACCCTGGTGGTTACTTCATTATTAGAGGTATTTTTTTTTATTTATATGTTACAATACTATCTCTGTCATTTCTTTGATTTATAAATATGTATTTGAAATATTAAATTTTAGAATTAATTATATTGCTGTGAAAAATCTACTACTAATCGTACTATGAACAAAATATTGGGTATAACACAGTTATTATTATATTAAGTGCTCTCTTTTAATTTATATAATATTTTATTCACAATGTTTTCACAGGACAAGAAAAAGTAATTTTAATTCAGGAACAATTATCCAGAAATCGTATGATTGTTGATGAATTTAAGGGCTCCATCCAGTGTCAAGTCACTAGTTCTACCCACGAGAAGAAAACTAGAACAAATGTTATAGTCAAAAATGGAAAATATGTTCTACGTCATAATGCTCTCTCTGATGTAAGTTTTTAAGGTTTCAGTTAATTTGCTTTTAATTTTATGAATTAATAAACAGTATTTTATAGGTATATGAAATGAAATATCCATTCATTTAAAATGAAATGAAATGTTTAGTTGGGTTGTTACATTGGCCTCTGTGACGTTCTTTAAATTTAATACTACACTTAAAGAAATTATGATTGAATGGTAATCACAAAATCTTTGTCTGTTAAAACAGTAGTAGCAAATCTGCTGTGAGTAGTATAATGCTCAAAGTCACAGGCGCCATCCTCAACCACCACTGGTCGACGTCAAATCTAGCGTCGATGACGGCATCAGTCAATCGACCAGTGAGAAGCACCGCTCATCACGCGACACATATGAGCACCAATAAAAAGGGTGGATACTCCACCCCTATGTAATTTCAAAAACGTTAAGTTGTTGCAATAAACGCTTCATGAGGAGAGGTCACAGTTTCATTTTAAAACACTCTTCCTTTACAAAAAACAAATTAACATAATTGCTTGGACCTTCGTACCCGGATCTTCATCAACCAGCAACCAGAGGAGGACAATTGTTGGATAAAAGGCAGCAACAGCACATCAGTATATCGAACATCATCAATAAAGCGCAGTTCGGTAAGACGTACCAGCCAAGATATCCCTCAACCTTCCTCTTCACCTGTGTTAATACTGTTTTTTCAACGTTTCTAGTGTCGTGTGTTAATACTTCACGCAAATTACGATCGGTGCTAGTGACTACAGTCAACGGTCAACGCTTCAAATTTCGCAAACGTGAGTACTCCATATTCATACCACACAACCCCAATGATGGATCAGGCTAATTTATCAGTTCCCGTAAAATCCCCTACTAGATCTCCTAATAAAACTAGTGAATTAAGTCTATATATACGCAAAAGAGGCGTCATTAAAGGTAGGCTAACAAAATTGGATAAATACATAGAATCAGTCCTTTTACAACCGTCTTCATTCAAAAAAGCCGAATTCAAATTACGCATACAAGGCGCATCTTCTCTATTAACCGATTTTAATGAAGTTCAGTCTAAAATTGAAGAGTATTCTGATGATATCGATGAACAATTAGAGCATAGGGAAGAATTTGAAACAAATTATTACGGTGTGATTGCTAGGGCTGATGAGTTGCTATCTGGTGACAAATCTACCGAAGATTCTCATAAAGGATCTCTTAATTTAATGAAATTGCCGACCTTATCTTTACCTTCCTATGACGGTTCCTTTGAAAATTGGCTGGAGTATAGGGATTGTTACCTATCACTAATACATAACTCCAAAGAAATAAGCGCAATACAAAAATTTCATTATTTAAAATCATCATTGAAGGGTAGCGCTGAATTAGTTATAGACTCACTAGAGTTTTCTGCAGCTAACTATTCCGTTGCATGGGAGTTACTCGTAAATAGGTATGATAATAATAGATTACTTATTCATAACCACGTTAAAGCATTATTTTCAATC